CACTTTTGTGAAAGAGATGTATCTTTGCTCTGGAAACTGTTATTGAATATGTTAAATCTGTAATAAAATGCTTCTTCTAATCATGTGATTAGTAAATAAATAAAAATAATAAGTAAAATATTTTTAAAATATCCCTTTTTGAGCACTAAGGACTACATGAAAGTGGAAGACACTGTTGAGTAGCAAGAGTTATGAGAGAGAATTTGGGCTTCAACATTTTATTTGAGCCCTGAAGGAGGTAAGCATGGAAATACAGCTTAAAATAATTTTGGACACTGAATTGTGATAGCTTATTGATTACAATCATTTTTTGGAGTTATATTTTCCCTGTGGTTTCACATAGAAAGAGTCACTGATTTGGCAATTACAAAAGACAAATGTCCATCTTTCGGGCTATTTTATTCTATAGAATTCCACATGATGCAAATGGTCAGGATTATAAGTGCATGCTGGCCAATTAACTTGTAAAAGACAATTAACTGTTAATTAACTAACTTTCAAAAGGCTAAAGTGACACCTCTGTACATGTGTATGTGAGCAGAGTGTCTGTTAATGTGAAGCATAGTTAAGAGCCTGTGAGTAGGCCATGAGGTAACATCCAATTGCTGTTTAGACCCACTGCCTGGTTATTCAATATCCAAAAATAAAAATCTGCTGTGCTACACTTGAGAACACCCTGAAATACTCAGAGGCTTAAGATTTTGCTCTTTCTTGCCAACTCCACCCCTCTACCATTATTAGAATGCTCAATGATCATTAATCAGGATTCTTGTTAATTCAGTCTAGCCAAAAGATCAGTTCCTACCATGATTTTCTGAAGAGAAGGATCTGGGATTCCCTCTTCATGTTTCCAGCATACATTTTTTTTTCAATTCTGCATAATAATCACCAGGAAAATTTACTCCATGAACTGCATGGCTTAATTAATAAGATGACACTGACAAGGATTAAGATGAAGAGATGAACTGCAATTCCTCCCTCCCGGAGCACAGGTTAGGCTAACCTCACAGAATCAGTGCTGAAGAACCACATCCCAACTTTTATTGGATAACAATTCTCCTTTCATCACCATAAGTCAAGGTCAAAGAGTGGTAACATTTAAGTCAAAGATTCTTAAAATTTTTAAATAAATTGTTAAGTGGAAACATTACTTATATGGTCTTTTTAATCTTTTTTAATTTAAAAAAAAGCTATCTTCTAGTTTTTTAAGCCTGTGACTGGTATGGCCCCCATTTGAACAAATTTTCCATAATATGTGTGCATTTGATCAGAGAGAAGACTTTAAGAAGTGCTTATTTAAGATTATGATGCAAAAAAAGATTATTATGTAAAGTGGAAACTGTGATGGCTTAGATTTCACAAATCACTCATGAGAGAAGCTTTAAAATACCCAAACATCTTTTCAGGGAAAGCACTGAATCATTTGTATTCCACACTCATGATTTTTTAAAAATGCCTGTAACCATTTGTTCAAAACACTGATGATAAATTGACATAGTAAAGTTCACAGGACAAATATCCTGTGATCAAAGTGGCCCAGTGAAAGCAACGTGATTTCTAGAATACCACAAAAATCCTCAAAACCCTTTTTTTCGACCTACTTAAATAGAAAGTTCTGTTTGCTGAGAACTCAGAGCCCCAAAGCACATTCAGCTTGAATCCAGGGGTTTGAGTAAATTCTTGCCTGGCAGCTGGGTTTTCATACTCAGAACCAGAGGTTTCTGTGAGGAATTATACCTCCCAAATTAATGAATGGAAAGAGTGATGGTGGAGGGTGAGTGTCTCCTGGGCTGTCCCAAAAGCGGAGCTTTCTCTGACCTGAAACTTGGTTTAGGGTTTAGGGGCAGAAACCTTTTCAACGAGTTCCAGGAGGGCGGCAGAAAGTAATCAGCCACCCACACTGCAGTGCAGGGGAAGGGCATTAAGTAAAATTTTTTAGGGCCTGATTTGGGGTGTCTTTTTTTTTAAATTGTTTGTTTTTCAGATGGAGGTCCTGCGCTAGATCAAACCAGAAAATCAAATCAAAATTAAATAACTTGTGCTCAGTGCCATGCAGGCAAATTGAAATTTTAAGACCAGATTTGTCTGAAAATTGGAGACTCACAACATTTGGTCTTCCAGGTTCAGTCAGCCAGAGCCAGCAGAGAAGAATGACTCCTCCGCTTTAAGCTTTATATGAAAGCAACCGAAGTGACAAGGCAGTGACTAACCATCCCTGCATTGTATTTCCTCATCCCATCTCACAAAACCACTGTCCTGCCATCCCATGCAGCACCTGTCTTATAGAATGAGATGCTTTTTTTAGTTCATGAATTGTAAATTCAAGACAATTAGATCTGAAAACAAAATTTGTTGGATTTTTTTTCTTTTTAATAGAAGTGATATGCTAGGCATGGTGGCACATGCCTTTAATCCAAGCACTTAGGAGGCAGAGACAGTCAGATGTCTGTGAGATAAAGGCCAGCCTGGTCTACATAGTGAGTTCTAGGTGGGTTGGGACTAGGAAGACTCTGTAAAACAATTGAAATGATACTTATTTTATATCCCTTTTCCCTCTGGCTTAACCTAACAACTAGCCTTTCCCAGAACAGTGGAAATTTCTCATTATCCCTCTGAAGAAATTGTATTTTCTCTCCATCCCTTCTCCTATCCCCAAAAGAGAAACAGTAAAGTATTTAAGTATTGAGGGTTGGTTTTGTTCCTGATGATATGGACAAGCTAAAGACATTTCATATACCAGATAAGATGTCTGCCTGTGGTTTGATTTCCACAACATAGGGCAAGTTTTGCTGTTTAATGCATTAATTTAAGACATACCAATTTTATTCTTGGACTCTAAAACTTACTACTTCTCTTCAACTCTCCTCACCTCTTCCTGTAGCTGTCTCTTGAACACATGCATGCTCAGTCAGCTGTCCAGAGTTAACTAGGACAGTGGCCTTATTACAAAATAAGGAAACCACTTGCTTTTCAGAGAGCCAATATTGAGGCCAAGTGATAGTGGGGTCTGGTTAGCTTTTGTTAGCTCAGATCTGGAGGTAGGAAGCAAGACCTCAGATAGGATTATTAAAAGTATAGAGGAAGGAAGGGAGCATGGTAAAGATCCAAAGCCCTTCTGCTCTCTCACCCCAAATGGCAATGACAAAAACAGTGACCAGGATAGAGAGATGACTGAGTTGGTAAAGTGCTTGCTATGCAAGCATTAGGACCTGAGTTCAGTCCCCAGCATCCATATCACATGTGGGCATGATGGCATATGCTTGTAACCTCATCACTGAGGAGGTGGAGATGGGAGGATCCCTCAAGCCCCCTAGGCAGCTAGTATCCCATGCAGCATCTGCATGTGCTACAGAATAAGACGTCCTTTGACTGATGAATTGTAAATAAAAGACAATAAGCTCTTAAGCAAAATTTGTTCGACTTTTTTCTTTTAATAGAAGTGATACTTATTTTATATTCTTTTTTCCCCTGGCTTAACCTAACAACTAACTTTTCTCATAACTGTAGAAATTCCTCATTATCCCTCTGAAAAAATTTATAGATCCTTTCCACTCCTCCTCCTAGCCTGTTAGGCTAGCCTAGGCAGTGAGCCAGGTCTCAAAAAAGCAAGGTAGAGGACTCCCTTGGAACTGACTTCTGCCACTATACCCACATGCACACACCTGCATACACAAACAGAGAGAGGGGTCTCTGTGCTGACTCCTCTCCCTCTACCCACACACGCACACACGCACACACACACACAGAAAAACACACACACACACACACACACACACACACACACACACACACACACACACAACTCAGCACATGTGAATACAGGAATTTAAACACCTGCAGAAAACTGTGAACACAAATTGATTTAGTATGTTTTTAAGATTAACTTGACTAAACTTTCCTTTATGTCATTAACAAACAGTAATTCACGACAGGAGGTTTGAGATTAGGAACACGAGACTGAATGGGAATCTCCCTATTTTTTTCTGTTTTGTTTTCACTTTTGCTTTGAGACAGGGTCTCACTATGTGGCCCCAGATGGTCTGTAACTCTCTATGTAGACCAGGTTGGCTTCAGACTTATTGAGATCCACTTGCCTCTCTTTCTCAAGTACTGCAATTAAGGTATGCAAGGTATGCATTATGTTGCCTTACCAGATTGTCCTCTATCTTTTATAAAAACATGCATTTAAAGTAATTAGACACTGATGTACTTTAACGTTTGTAATATGTATTCAAATAAATGATTGAAAGATGGTGCTTAAAACAGGCAGTATAATTAGTTTCACTCCACAAGCACTCAATTGAGGCTAAGATTGGCTAAGCAAATTGCCTGAATTTACAGAGCTGGCTAGGAGACAGTGTGAACACAAAATTAGCACCGAAACACTCCCTGAATCTTGGCTTCAAAAACCCTTGAGAGCAAGGTTAATGATATTAGTTTGGAAAACAAGCAAGTAATTGAACAAAATATAAAAATAAAAACAGGTGAAAAGAGCAACGTTTTAATCTTTTTGTCATTACTAAGGCTCAAGTTGACTTTGCCTTCTTAATCATCTCTCCTCAGCATCTGGAGTGCTGGGATAAAGGCATGCACCACCATCTCTAGCTAAGAGCAGCATCTTACAACTGAGAGTGCTAGCTTTCACATACATCTTGTTCATCAAGCTGGTGGGGAAAACTGTTCTCTGAATGTGTCTGCAATACTTTAAAATGTAGTGTTCACGTTGAACATCTTCACTTCCGTCTCCCTTTGAAAAGTCAAGCAAATCAAGGCACATTTGACCCCGTGTGACAGTGGCTGTTTTTAGTGGGCCATAAGCCTTCTTCTCTGCACAGGCTCCACCAGCACCCTTAACTCATAGTTTACCAGCCTAACTGCAGAGGTTTGAGTTGAGCTTTTGTCTTAAACCAATCAGATAAGTGAACTATGTTAATTTGCCTCTAGCTTTAGAGAAGTCCAGCAATTATCAGTTAATCCTTAGACTACTCGGGAACACTTACATCCAGAAGAAATGTCTTTTCCACATATGAGAGTCTCCTGAAAGTGCCCGGGACACTGAGCGGTGCAATACACTGAGGCATGTGGCTCCAGAAAGTTCTTATACAAAAGTTGAGCTGTTGTTCTATTAATCAATGTGATTTGAAATCTTTCTTTGATGCCATTTTTATAAAAATTCAGTTTCTTTGGTTGACAGTTCTTAACAGCTGCTTGGCAGTAGATAGAGACATCCGTGCCCATGTGCAAAACTGGGGCAGGTTCTACCCAGATGTTCCCAGAGCAGTTTATAGTTGTAATTCCTGGAAGCAAACGCATGAAAGAAAAAGTTCTATGTAAAATACTGCAAGAGATTTAGAAGAATGTGCTACTGCACTTAATTTTTTTTCTTTTCTACAATTAAATGGTTATTAAAAAATAAGACGGTCTGTATTTTTTATTGATCATGACAGTGTGTTTTCATCTTGCTTCTACTGAGGCAGCAGCTGACACAGACCTAAGCCAGCTTTTGAGTTTTCTAATTGTCTAGAAAGCAAATACAATTCACTCTCCTGCCTTAAGTCAGAAAACGCAATCCCATTCTCCAGACACTCAACCAATCTCTCTCTCTCTCTCTCTTTCTCTCTCTCTCAAATAAAAGCTACTTTTATCAACATATTCCAAAAAACCCTTCCTTTTGCAGTGACAAAGATAGAGTACTTAATAGCTACATAAAATTTATCATTAATTTAATAATATTGGGGAAATGTACATAACACATTGTTAAGTTAAAAAGCAAGTTGCAAAACAACATATTTCATAAATGTTCAACATTGGAAAGAAGTAAATAAATGGGCAAATTAAAGAGGAAATACAGAATTTATTATTTTCATTTGTGTCATAAACATTCGCATATAAATATGTCATTTAGATGTTGAAATAGTAATAAAAATAATTACATCATCATCATAAGGAATAGAAACCAAAGGCATAAAAAGAAAGTTTATGAAAATATCTGAGGGTTAGGGCTGGAGAGATGGCTCAGCAGTTAACAGCACTGGCTGCTCTTGCAGAGGATCTGGGTTTGATTACCAGCACCCACATGGTGGCTAACAACCTTTCTTAACTCCAGTTCCAGGGGATCCAACATCCTCTTCTGACCTCCACAGGTACTGCACGACACAGGTGCACTTATATACATACAGGCAATATACTCATACACATAAAATAAAAATAAGAAATAAATTTTTTTTTTTAAAATCTGAGGCTGGGTATGGTCATATACAAATGTAAACCCAGCACTCAGGAAACTGAGGAAGAAGGATCACAAATTCGAGACCAGCCTGTATACATAGCAGGTTCCAGGTTAGCCTAGGCTGGAATAGTGAGACTGTCTCAAAAATAAAGAATGAGGGTCAGAGGACTGGCTCAGCAGGTAGCGGCATTTGTGGCCAAGCCTGAAGATCTAAGTTTGATCCCTGGGACCCACATGGTAGAAGGAGAAAAGCAAGTTATCCTCTGACCTCCAACTTGGGCCATGGCATAGGTTCCCCCATAGCGAGTTTGAGGCTAATGTAACTAAGTCTTACAAAAACAAACCAAAGGAGGAGGAGGAAAAAGAGGAAGAGGTAGAGGACGAGGTAGAGGAGGAGGAAAAGGAAGAGGAGGAAGGAGAAATAGTAGTAGTAGTAATATTAATAATAGTAATAGTAGTAGTAATATTAGTAATAATGGAGCAATATTCAGAAGATTAGCATGGGTCCTGAGTAAAGATGGCAAATTCATGAAATGTTCTATTTTTTTAAAAGGGATATTTTAAGTTTGACAATTCAAGTTTACACAAAGTACATCTTCAGTGCCCATCATGAAGCCATTTTTAGAACTCATAGGAATGTCAAAAGAGTTGGTTAAATGTCCTGGCCTTCAAAAATAGAAGAAAGAAGAAGTCCAGGAATATTGAGCTGCTGAGCCTCAGAATGGTCAGTAGTAAGTAAAAGGCTTTTCAGAACACAGGAAAATTATCAATGATCAGTAGACATCAATACAGATTGTAAGAGTAAGTCATGTAAAAATGTTAGTTTCTTTCTTTCTTCTTCTTCTTCTTTTTTTTTTTTTTTGAGACAGGTCTCACTTTTCAGCCCCAGCTGGCCTCAAACTCATTTCTATTCTCCTGCCTCAGAATCCTAAGTGTTGGGATTACAGATATGAACCATCATGCCCAGCTAGCTAATTTACATTTAAAACATGGCTATTAGATTGGTTAAAGAAATGTTTAACTTATTGTAGAACATGTAATATTCTCTTTTTTTAATATTATTTATTTATTTAGGACTTTTTTTGAGACATTTGCTATGTATACTAGCTATCCTTGAACTCACTATGTAGCCCAATCTAGCCTCAAATTTACAATAGTTCTCCCATCTCAGCCTCCTGAGTACTAGGATTAAAGTGTGTGCTTCTGCACCTGGCCTGCAAAGATATTAATTCAGAGTAATAACATTCTGGTGAAAACTGGACTGTTGTCACTGGATTATATTAGAATGGTTATAGCTGGTTGAACAACAGTACCTATAGTCACCTCCCATGGAGAGCCGGGCGCTGTCCAGCTTTATGTCTCAGGGGCTGGTCTCACTCCATTACACTATGTTTTAATCACAGGATATATACACCAAAGTTCTACTTATTGTTCAACTATTTCTAGACACTGGTGTCTTATTTCCTAAACCTTGTTAGGGTATCTGTTGATCTTACTCTAAAGGGTCCAGTCATCTTGCTGAAAAGGGTTCTACTTGTGATGATGGGACTAATCTATAGCTCCAACATGACTGTGTTTTCACTCTATGGCAAGGAACAACATGGAGGTCAGCATGGCCTCAAAAAGTATGACTTACAAATTTGTGAAGCATTTCACATTTAACATCAAAGAAAACAGTTTGTCACTATTCTGAATTACCATGTCTGAAAAATGTTACTCATCGTTTAGAACCCTGCCTTGGTACTGTTTACCTTCCAGTTAATTGAATCTTTGCCATTTGCCCAGGAGACACCTGTTCCCAAAAGAAATTCTCAAATACCAACTGCTGTCCTACTTGAATTTGTTTTCTTGGATTCCCCAAAGCTTCCCAGGCCAGTCTCAGAAGAATTTGTTTTACTGAATAGGGACAGACGTTTGTGTGCAATATTATACAGAATGACAGCAACCTAGAATAGGACTGCACAAGGTCATTGAGAGGACTAAAAGCTAGCAGAGTGCCTGGCACACCCAACCATTGGTAGTTCATAGAACTGAAGTAAATTCAGACTTCTTATAAGTTGCATAACAGTCATGATAATCCAAAAACTTGAACATCCCAACTCAAAACAGCCTCCTTTGTGGAAATATTGATATGTGACAGAGGGGTGTCTATCAGGGCACCTGAGAAAGGAATTTGGTATTTGGAGGGAGTTTGAACCATCTATGTTTTATTTCATTCCCTATTAATTTTTCCCAATGTAGTAATTTTCATATTCTCCAGAGACCACAGCATAATGCCTTAAAATAATAGTTACTCAAAAAAAAAAAAAAAACAAGATT